GAATAGTCCAGGATGCAGAGTGCCAGGAGCTGCCTACACTTATCCAAATATAATGGGAGCAAAAGTGGGCCCGCATCCGTCCTACACATCTGAGCCTGGAGTATGAGGTGACAGTCTCCCCTGTAACTATCTTCTCTGCCTGTCAGGTGAGTCCTGCTACTTTCAAGAAAAGCGACTTCATATTATGTTGTGGGTGTGATCGTTTATGCTGAGGAGGAGTGCAAAATATCAGGAGAAGGCTCATCGAGTCTTAAGGCTTCAGACACAGAAAATTCTCCAGCTCCTGGGTGTTCCCTTTAGACAGTCAAAGCCACAAACACCTATCCAAACATTTTCTCCCTTTTCCCCATTTCTTTGTGCTACCAAGAATCACCTCTCCATGGTGTCCCTGTCCAGGGTCTGTAGCAAGAATCTCTCCTTCCCCGTGAAGCAAGATATCCTATGAGGACCCCACACAACAAGGGGACAAAACTAAACAGCTTATGTGGTGACATTACGGGAAAAGCCCCTATTATCAAAGCACAACCTGGGCCAGTTACCTGGGAGCACAGAGAAGCATGTCATTCACGCCTTAGATGTGACATACAGGGATCCAGGCTCATGGCAAGGTAAGGCTCGAGGTCAGGTCCCAGTGAAAGACTCATTCAATCATTATTTCTGTCAGGGAAACAAGGGTCAGGAGGAATCCCAGTGGGTCCCCTGGGAACTCCTGGCTCGGTCCCAGTAAGCCCTCTCTTAGGTGCCACCTGCACCAGTTCCCAAACTTCACCACACTTTCCACGTCCTCCTGTAGCCTTGAGGTCAGCTATGCCATTTTTAGATCAGCGTTCTTGGGCAAGAACAGAACTTCTCTGATTCTTAGTCTCTTCCTCCATAAATGGAAATGTTTTGCACTTCTCACAATTAAAACATTTGTGAAAGATCAAACTGGAAACTCAACACAAAAAGCAGCATTTCACTGTGTGTGAAAGCTCTTCAAAAGCTGTCAGGTACTGTACAAATACACCACTTTCCCACGTAGGTATGAGCCCATGAGGACCCGTGGGGGTACAGTAAGCAGACGTGGGAGCTCTGAGCAACGGCCTCCTGCTGAGGACGAGCTGGCTTCCCACTGGACCCGGAGACGTCCTAGGGCCCCCTCCCAACCCCACAGACCCCGCTTTGCTCTTTCCCCCAACCTTGGCTAGTTTCCATTTATTCCCATCTCACCACCAGACTTCTGAGATTTCCTTACTTGCTCACTACTTCCAAAAATATTTGCTCATTTCTACCTTCAGAGAATTCAACCATGAACCCTGCCCACCCCTGCCCCTCACTACCCCTGAGCTCAGAGGAGCTAAGGAGGAGTCGCTTCCTCAGAGGGCTCTTCTGGCTGGCTCACACCATTAGACAGACTCTAGCTCCGTGCATGCCCCTCTCGCCGGGTGTGCCTCAATAAATCCTAAGGCTGTGTCTTGGTGGCCATGGCAGGTCCCAAATTGAGAACATTTCTAGGAAGAGTAACTCTGCACTGAGCCCAGCACTATAGTCCCACTGCCTCTAAGGTAGAATATTCCAGAATTTTCCCCCTTCCATCTTTGTCATCAATCACCTAACACTCGACCCTCTCACCACATGCTAATCTCTCGCCTACTGCTGCTTCTCTGATCAGAACCCAAATTTACCACAGTCCGACCCCATGTTAATGCCGGACCTGGAGCACAGAGCCCTCGCTCAGGCTGGCAGCTCCCAGCAGGTGGGCCGGTTTGCATCACCATTGGTTCGGATCCCCAGGGCGACCGTGAGGCTGCTTAAGGAGATCCTGGACGGCGTGAGAGATGAGCAAGAGCAGGGTCCGGGGGGTGGGGGGGAGGACGAGGCAGCACACAGTACTGGTCTCCTGTCCCCCAGGTGCCACGCCTCCTCCTTGCAAACGCCCTGGGGGGAAGAAGGCAGCGGAAAGCCCAGGCTCCCAGGAAGCGCTGCCCGTCCTTTCTGGTCCCCTCCTGAAGTTGGGAACCTGATTCCCCAAAGTCTCGAATTAGAACCAGTGGTTTAGCTTTAGACTTAAGAGAAGGGGCCGCATGCTTACAGACACAGACCTAGACAAGACCTCGTCCCTGTCATGGGGGCTGCGGGACAGCCCAGCCCGGCGTCAGCCCTTCCTGCAGGGAAGTTCAGTAAGTCTCCCCGAGGTCAGAGGCCTTCTAGCGGCCCGGGTCATTTTTCCTCCTCCCCTTGTCTCCTCGATTTAAGTAGGTCCAGCTGTGGCACCTGGGGGCTTGGCTTCTTCTGCCCGCCCTGGAAGCCTGGCAGGAATCAGCTGGTCTTCCTCTCTGTCCTCAGAAGGTAGTTTCCTTATCACCTGCAGGTCATGGAGCCACGGAACAGCCAGCCTAGAGCTGATGCAAGACCCTGGGAAGGGGCAAGCTGCCCTGTGCGTGCGCGGGGAGGGGCGGTGGCCGCCCCTCACGTCGCCCTCCCCTCGCCCAGACAGCTATAAAGGCTCGCTACCACCCACTCGGTTACACCTCTGCCACCATGCATCCACTGCTGATCCTCACCTTCGTGGGAGCTGCTGGTGAGTTCCATCCGCAGGCTCCGCTGGCCCTGCAGCCAGGCCTGCCCGCCCCTGCCGACCCTGATGCTCCAGCTCCCCTTCCCTCTCCTGGGCTCTCTTTAAGCCCCGCCTCTCTCACCTGCTGCCTGACTCTGCTCCCTGCCCCATCATCCATCCATTTCAGAGCTTTATTTGGAGAGGCCAGAAAGGGAAACCAGGTGAACTGGTCCAGAAAATGAACCAGGGGTCCTGAGGCTTCGTGCCGACAGCTCTGGGATAACCCCACCTTAGCTGTTCTTAACCCCAGATGCAGCTCAGGTATATAGGAGTATACCCATAAAGAATGCTCATGCCAGGATCCTGCCCCTAGAAGTTCTGACCTAATTGGCCTGGGGTGTGGCCTGTGCACTGAATTTGTACACTTCGCAGATGATTTTAAGATTCCCAGGTGTGCAGCCTGGGTTGAGAATTACTGTTTTATTGGCTAGTAGCAGTGTCTACCTTTGTCCTACCTAGTGGGCCTGGGACTGCTCTCCCTAGACTCACTGTGAAGATTTGAGCTTTGAGGGAACCTGCGTACAGCCGGGGCTACTTAGCCAGATTTTCCTGGCTTTGCAGATTTTCCTAGGGCCTCAGCCCATGCAGGGTTCCCAGCTACTGCCCTGCAAGCACACAGAGAGAACTAAGTCCTGTGATCCCTTGTCCGGAGGGAGCACTCCCAGGCTGATCTCCCATCACTGTGCTTATGAAGGACCCCAAATAGCATGATGCAGCCACAGGGCTCAGGCTACACCCTCCAACAGCCTGCTGAGCCGGCTTCTCCCTGTCTTTGCTCAAGTCGCTTTCCCCGCTGATGACGATGACAAGATCGTCGGGGGCTACACCTGTTCGGAGAATTCCATCCCCTACCAGGTGTCCCTCAACTCTGGCTACCACTTCTGCGGAGGCTCCCTCATCAATGACGAGTGGGTGGTGTCTGCTGCTCACTGTTACAAGTCGTAAGTGCTGGACCCCTCACTGCAAAGCCCACCTCCCAGGGACTTCTCAGAGGGCTTGGGTCAGTCAGGGGGAGGGTGCTGAGGCTGGGCAAGGTGAGGGGTTGGGAGGGCAGTGATGGAGGGGAGAAGTTACTGATAGCAGCTGTCACGGGAGCTCTGCTCATGTGTGTGTGTGAAGAAGGCACATGAAAGAAGGTCTCTCATGCCCAAAACGAATAGATAAAACAGCAATATGAACCCTGCCCACCCCTGCCCCTCACTACCCCTGAGCTCAGAGGAGCTAAGGAGGAGTCGCTTCCTCAGAGGGCTCTTCTGGCTGGCTCACACCATTAGACAGACTCTAGCTCCGTGCATGCCCCTCTCGCCGGGTGTGCCTCAATAAATCCTAAGGCTGTGTCTTGGTAGCCATGGCAGGTCCCAAATTGAGAACATTTCTAGGAAGAGTAACTCTGCACTGAGCCCAGCACTATAGTCCCACTGCCTCTAAGGTAGAATATTCCAGAATTTTCCCCCTTCCATCTTTGTCATCAATCACCTAACACTCGACCCTCTCACCACATGCTAATCTCTCGCCTACTGCTGCTTCTCTGATCAGAACCCAAATTTACCACAGTCCGACCCCATGTTAATGCCGGACCTGGAGCACAGAGCCCTCGCTCAGGCTGGCAGCTCCCAGCAGGTGGGCCGGTTTGCATCACCATTGGTTCGGATCCCCAGGGCGACCGTGAGGCTGCTTAAGGAGATCCTGGACGGCGTGAGAGATGAGCAAGAGCAGGGTCCGGGGGGTGGGGGGGAGGACGAGGCAGCACACAGTACTGGTCTCCTGTCCCCCAGGTGCCACGCCTCCTCCTTGCAAACGCCCTGGGGGGAAGAAGGCAGCGGAAAGCCCAGGCTCCCAGGAAGCGCTGCCGTCCTTTCTGGTCCCCTCCTGAAGTTGGGAACCTGATTCCCCAAAGTCTCGAATTAGAACCAGTGGTTTAGCTTTAGACTTAAGAGAAGGGGCCGCATGCTTACAGACACAGACCTAGACAAGACCTCGTCCCTGTCATGGGGGCTGCGGGACAGCCCAGCCCGGCATCAGCCCTTCCTGCAGGGAAGTTCAGTAAGTCTCCCCGAGGTCAGAGGCCTTCTAGCGGCCCGGGTCATTTTTCCTCCTCCCCTTGTCTCCTCGATTTAAGTAGGTCCAGCTGTGGCACCTGGGGGCTTGGCTTCTTCTGCCCGCCCTGGAAGCCTGGCAGGAATCAGCTGGTCTTCCTCTCTGTCCTCAGAAGGTAGTTTCCTTATCACCTGCAGGTCATGGAGCCACGGAACAGCCAGCCTAGAGCTGATGCAAGACCCTGGGAAGGGGCAAGCTGCCCTGTGCGTGCGCGGGGAGGGGCGGTGGCCGCCCCTCACGTCGCCCTCCCCTCGCCCAGACAGCTATAAAGGCTCGCTACCACCCACTCGGTTACACCTCTGCCACCATGCATCCACTGCTGATCCTCACCTTCGTGGGAGCTGCTGGTGAGTTCCATCCGCAGGCTCTGCCGGCCCTGCAGCCAGGCCTGCCCGCCCCTGCCGACCCTGATGCTCCAGCTCCCCTTCCCTCTCCTGGGCTCTCTTTAAGCCCCGCCTCTCTCACCTGCTGCCTGACTCTGCTCCCTGCCCCATCATCCATCCATTTCAGAGCTTTATTTGGAGAGGCCAGAAAGGGAAACCAGGTGAACTGGTCCAGAAAATGAACCAGGGGTCCTGAGGCTTCGTGCCGACAGCTCTGGGATAACCCCACCTTAGCTGTTCTTAACCCCAGATGCAGCTCAGGTATATAGGAGTATACCCATAAAGAATGCTCGTGCCAGGATCCTGCCCCTAGAAGTTCTGACCTAATTGGCCTGGGGTGTGGCCTGTGCACTGAATTTGTACACTTCGCAGATGATTTTAAGATTCCCAGGTGTGCAGCCTGGGTTGAGAATTACTGTTTTATTGGCTAGTAGCAGTGTCTACCTTTGTCCTACCTAGTGGGCCTGGGACTGCTCTCCCTAGACTCACTGTGAAGATTTGAGCTTTGAGGGAACCTGCGTACAGCCGGGGCTACTTAGCCAGATTTTCCTGGCTTTGCAGATTTTCCTAGGGCCTCAGCCCATGCAGGGTTCCCAGCTACTGCCCTGCAAGCACACAGAGAGAACTAAGTCCTGTGATCCCTTGTCGGGAGGGAGCACTCCCAGGCTGATCTCCCATCACTGTGCTTATGAAGGACCCCAAATAGCATGATGCAGCCACAGGGCTCAGGCTACACCCTCCAACAGCCTGCTGAGCCGGCTTCTCCCTGTCTTTGCTCAAGTCGCTTTCCCCGCTGATGACGATGACAAGATCGTCGGGGGCTACACCTGTTCGGAGAATTCCATCCCCTACCAGGTGTCCCTCAACTCTGGCTACCACTTCTGCGGAGGCTCCCTCATCAATGACGAGTGGGTGGTGTCTGCTGCTCACTGTTACAAGTCGTAAGTGCTGGACCCCTCACTGCAAAGCCCACCTCCCAGGGACTTCTCAGAGGGCTTGGGTCAGTCAGGGGGAGGGTGCTGAGGCTGGGCAAGGTGAGGGGTTGGGAGGGCAGTGATGGAGGGGAGAAGTTACTGATAGCAGCTGTCACGGGAGCTCTGCTCATGTGTGTGTGTGAAGAAGGCACATGAAAGAAGGTCTCTCATGCCCAAAACGAATAGATAAAACAGCAATATTTGGATCAGAAAAGCAAGAAGGGGCTATTTTGGGGTGGCAAGACCCAATGGGAAGACAGGCAAGGGCCTCGGACGAGTAACCTTTGCTAGTTGATTACACACTGAAACCAATGAAGAAATATTCAGAAAACACTGATGCCTGGGTCCTATCCTAGGGCAACTACGTCACAATTTTCAGGGAGAGGATACCAAATATTGGTGAATTTTTAATACTCTCTACCTCTGGCAATTCGACAGCAGAGCTGAGAATTACTGTCTAGACCAAAGGGCTCTCAATCAACAGGAGCGTGCAGCGGAACCCCTGGGGGGCTTGCTAAAACACAGATTGCTGGGGTCCACTTCCTTCTGATATGGCAGGACTGGGGTGGGGATGCAGACTTGGTAGTTCTAACAAGTTCCCGGGTGATACTGAGGCTGCCCGTCCTGGAGCACACCTGGAGAAACCCTGGGTTAGAGCAGACAGAATGAAGGTCCTTACCAGACCAGAAGGGATAGGGTGGAAGTGACTGCGCGTAGTTAGCAAAGGTACAGCGGGCAAACAGCACATCAGGGACTTCAGGTAGCTTGTTTCTGCCCAGGCACCAGGTGGGAAGGCAGGCTGAGTGCCCTCCCCACGGAGCCCTTCACTCCGCCTTCTCCACTACCACCTGATCTGAAGCAGGAAGCTTCTTGGTCTCACATCTGCACTGACCTACCAGCCCTCTGGTGCCCACACCCCCACCCCTGAGTGGGGAGCTCCAGAGCCCTGGGGAAGTGGGGATGTGGAGAAAAGCCTTCACGGTGCTTCCCTTCCTAACAGCCGGATCCAGGTGAGATTGGGAGAGCACAACATTGATGTCCTGGAGGGTGGTGAGCAGTTCATCGACTCGGCCAAGGTCATCCGCCACAGCAAATTCAGTAGCTGGACCCTGGACAATGACATCATGCTCATCAAGCTCTCCTCGCCCGCGGTCATCAGCAGCCGGGTGTCCACCATAGCTCTACCCACCGCCTGCGCACCCGCCGGCACCCACTGCCTCATCTCTGGCTGGGGCAACACCCTGAGCTCTGGCAGTGAGTGGGACCCTCATGAATTCACCCTCGACTCTTCCACATTTCCCAGAACCAAGCATGCCCCCAAGCTTAAACCTCACTACACACAGCACTCTGCTGGGGACCAGAGAGATGCAGTCTCAAGGAGCTGGCACCTAGCATCGGAAGATAGGACAAATGTAGCACTTGTTATTGTCACTTCTAGGGAAGGGTTTGCAATGGTCATTCTGGGACCAAGATCCATTGCTGGGGTCCTCTCCTGGCTGCCCTCAGGGTCAGCACTGGATTGCCATCCCCTTCCTGGCCTGACCCTTGTTTCTCTTTCCCTGATCTCCTCCTGCTCCTCAAAGCCAACTACCCGGAGCTGCTGCAGTGCCTGGACGCCCCGCTCCTGAGTCAGGCCCAGTGCGAGGCCTCCTACCCTGGGCAGATCACCGACAACATGGTCTGTGCTGGCTTCCTCGAGGGAGGCAAGGATTCCTGCCAGGTGATTGGACCCTTTGCATGCCGAGACCCACATGGCCAGTGGGAGCGAGATTTGAACACCCAAGCCATGGGGCTGCTAGAGGCGGACTCTGTGCGGTGGTCCTGTGAGAAGTGAGGGTGGCTAGTTTGCATGTTGTCTGCTTGATAACAACAGAGAACGGGCCACCCAGGACAGAGCGATGGAGCACAGAGCTGACCCAACGGGGTCTTTTAAGGTCCAGATCACGTATGGTTTTGTTCCCCATCTCTTCTTTTTATAAACTTGTCCCATCTTCATCCCCCAAGGGTGACTCTGGCGGCCCTGTGGTCTGCAATGGTCAGCTCCAAGGAATTGTCTCCTGGGGCTATGGCTGTGCCCAGAAGAACAAGCCTGGGGTTTACACCAAGGTGTGCAACTTTGTGGACTGGATTACTGAGACGATAGCTGCCAATAGCTAAGCCCCAGCCTTCTGACGTTCCTATGCTAATAAAGTGGGTTTGCCACAAATGCCAATATCCGTTCCTGCTCCCTCCCGCCCCCGTGCTCTGAGCTCAGACATGGTCTATCTCTTAGAGATGAACTGCGCACCCCACTTCCCAAAATGTGTTCCGTGGATGAGATGGAAGCCAAAAAATAATAAGCAGGGGTGAGGGGGACTATTTCCTAGAGGAAAACCCATGGCAGAAAGGCCACGTTAAAGGGGCCCCTTCCAGTGGTGCAGACAAGGAAACAGATTCAGAGAAGCTTGTTAGTTTACCGAGTTCCTCGGCCAGCAGGTGGTGACCCTGGGGCTGGACTCCTCATTGGCGCCTCTCCAGGTCTCAAGTGCAGGGCTGACGTGTGCCCGCGTGGGGAGCCCACTACCTCCTTCCCCTTGTGCCTGGAGCACGCACGCTGGGGAGACACCTGCCCGGGCCACCTTGGCCTCTTCCGAGGCCCCATCTGCACGTGCTCTCTCCAGCCCAGCTCGTTCTCCCTCCAGCCACAGGAGGTCCCAGGGGCCCCCTTTCCCAGCCACCTGCTCACATGGCTGAGGGACACGAGAGCTCTCTGGGTCTCCAGTCCTCAGGCTCCTGGGAAATCTGCCTTTGTTTATCCCTCGCGATGGTGCTGCCATACTGCGTGCGGTGTGAACGCTTGGCCATTTAATTCCTTCTCCTCTCTGGACTGGATATTCTTCCAGTGACGCAGACAAGAAAACAGATTCAGAGAAGCTTGTTAGTTCACCACGCCCCTCAGCCAGAGGGTGGTGGACCCGGGGTGCGCTCCTCCTCAGCCTGGCCCCAAGGCCCAGGCTCTCTCTGCCCCTCCTCGCCATCTCTCCTGCTGCGACCACTGTCTGAGATGCTGACGGGCCTGTCGACCTGGCCCTTCAGGGACTTTCCAGCCCTTTCTCTGCCTCCTGTGCTTCACGAGGGCTCTGGTCTCCTGCCCACCTTTGAGCGCTGTGCCTTGCATCACATCAGTTGCTGACCAATACCTCTCCTGACTTCCCATAGCTTTCAAAACAGAGCCTGAGCTCCTCCCCTTGGGGATGCAGGCCCCGTGCTATTCCGGCCCCACCGCGGCTCCGTCTGCGCCTCTCCTCTCCTCCCCTCTCCTCCCCTAAGTGCCCCACGGCTCAGAAGTCCTGGTGGCCCCTCCAGCAAGCTGTGCGCCTCTGGCCTCTAGCTCTGGACACCCCCAGTCTGTCTGGCTTGATGCCGGCCTCACCCACCCCTTCACTCGCCTCAGGAAATGCTTTCCTGCCTCTTCCTTCTCCCAGTCCCCCGGCCCCCACCCCTGCCCTGGCCCCGGGGCCCCCGCTGGTCTGGGAGAGGAGTCCTCCTGTTCTGTCCTTACCTCCATCACATTCCTGCTCCTACTGCTTTGTAAGCATGGAGGCATCTGCCTTGGCAGTCGATGGGAGCTCCTTAGGGAAGAAATCTTGCTTTACTCATCCCAGTGTATCTAGTGATTAAGCCATGTCTGGAGTAAATAAGCCCCCAGTGACTGAATGAATAAAGTGTGAGCCAGGAGTGAAAGGAAATGTATGTATGGAAGAAAGAGCCTTCCAGAAGAATGTTCTCCAAATGTGGTCCAGTCCCGGGACAAGGGCACCTGGGGATTTAGGAGGAATGCAAATTTGGGGGTCCCACTCCAGACCTACAGAGTCAGAGATTCTGAGATGGAGCCCAGCAACTTGCATTCTAGCAAACCTGCACGTCCCCAGAGGCATGCTAAAGTTGAGGACCAGTGCGGGAAAGGGGTGCCTAGGCCAGGACTCTGCGAAAACACCTCAGCTAACATCTTCACTAACTGTATTCAGGCACCATGATAAACCTTTACACACACTATCTTACCTACTTCTCACAAGAGCTCCAAGGTAGATGTTGTGTTATTTCCATTTTACAGATAAGGAGACTGGAATTTAAAGAGTCTCAGTAACTTGCCCAAGGTCTTACAGACATAAGCAAAAGGCCTGGGTGGCAGCCAGGCTCCAAGAGGTGGGCTTCCCTCAGCAGATTCAGGTGCCAAGGAAGCTACCAGAGCCCAGAACCCAAGAGAGAAGGAGGCCTGGGCGCTGGTTCCAGTCATGCATGACTCGGGGAGATCCATGCAGGCTCTTCATATTTCAGCTTCATCTGGGAGAATTAGGACAGATTTTGGGTTGAAATGAGTCTGTTAATGTGCCTGAAAGGTTTCAAGAATTACACATATGTAAGATGTTATTTGCATATCTCCTCCCATATCACAACACATCCCTAGAGGAAGGCACATAGGTAACCCGGGTTCCCTCCTGTCCCCGGGTACACTAGCCACGTCCTTCTAACCCCCTCAAGTGGCCACGTGGAGACTACAGCTACTTAGGTCTAAAAAAAAATTTTTTTTTTTAATTAAATAAGGAAAGGCTGCCCCCTGCTGCCAAAGTAGGTGAATGACCCCGCCCAATACCTGCCTCTAAACTCCGTTTACCAAACAAAACTGGGCATACCGACAGTGTGACAGTGGCAAAGCTGGGACAAATCCATCGGGATTAAAAGCTGTGGTGCCAGGACAGAGTGGTACTATTCTCTGTATGACCAGACAGAATAAAGGCCCTCAGCAAGACAGTCAAAAGGAAATTTACTTAGAGGATAGATTACGGATAGGCAAAAGGGATAAGACAGAAACACATACGAAAGTAGATCAAAGTAAATCACTGCATTGATGAGCGTGGAAAGGGAGTAAAGAAGAGTCCTCGCCACATTTCGACTGAGAAAAGCAATCCATGATCTTTTATTCAGGTATATGGTAGTGCTGTGAGATCTGTCCCTGTTCCTGAGTTAAACAAACAGTCTCCCCCTTTTTCTTTTTCGCCTAAATTCTAAGAGCCGTGCTGTTGCACCCAACTTGGGGCACCACCAGATAGCACTCTGACATTCTCCACGACTGACACCTGACCTTTTCCTCGCCAGGGGATGAGAAGCAGTCCCTGCCACCAAAATGGATATACCCAGGGTAACTTTGTGCTTGATGGTTTATCTAAATACAAATTAATAAACTCAATCCTAGAGATTTTTAACTCAGAAGATCATGGAGACTACTCAGAAATATGCCTTTTACACAAACTCCCTAGGTGATCAGAGACTCATTAAGCAACCCCAGGACCATGAAACAGCTTCTTAACATAAACTGATCTTCTTTGGAAAAAATAATGACTTTGTAAATTAAAGAAGTAGTGTTTTTTAAATAGCAGATTTCAAAATATTACTTAAAGTATTATTTTGTTGTTTTAGTTTTCTTTTAAATTTTATTAATATAAATTTGTTTTAAGTAGATAATAAAGCTATATAGCTCAAAAATTGAAACAATACAATGAAGTTGACATTGAGTGGTTACTTTTATTTTCACTCTCTGTCTACTTGACTCATTCTTAATAAGTAATCACCTTTATCCCTCTTTTGTATCTTTAAAATGTTAATTTATGCAGACTCAGCAAACAAAATTATAATTTTTATTTTCCCACTTTATTATTATTATTATTATTCCAATTTTACAGATAAGGAGACTAGAATTTAAAGAGGCTTAGAAATTTGTCCAACGTCTTATAGACATCAGGTAGTACATGCTAGCCTACTATGCTAGCATATTTTTCCCTATTTTAATGTATCTTAAAGAAGTTTCCATAACAATATGAGATATTTTCATTTTTTTCTTAGCACTGAATAGTACTCTATTTTCTGAATGTGTCACAGTTTATTTATCCAGTCCCTTACCAATGGGCACTTGAGATTCTCCCAATCTTTTTGCTATCCCAAATAATGTAAATGTCTTCAAACATTTTTTATTTGTATGCAAGAATAATCACAGGATACATTGCTGTATGTGGGATTTATGGGTGAAGAAGTAAATGTGTCTATAATTTTTATAGATGTTTCCAAATTGCTCCCCATAAGGTTAATACCATTTTGCACTCCTACCATTAATCTGTGTGTAAGTGCATATTTCACCACACACTAACCAATAGAATGATCTTATATAATTTAAATTTGTCTATCAAACTGATGGAAAGTGACACTTCAATACAGTTTTAGTTTGCATTTATCACTGCAAGATTTTTTTCTTATGGTTAGCACAATTTGGATTTCTTGTTCTTTGCCCTTTTTATTGGGCTGCTGAATTATTTTCTTATTGATTTCTAGGAGCTCATCATATATTGGGGAGATTAACCCCTATGATGAGAATTGCAAAAGATACTCTTATATAGTTGGTTACCTTTTAATTCTGTGTATATTTTTTCTGTATAAGTGGGTCATCAATATATAGTCAAGTTTGTCTTTTTTCTCCTCTAGATTTTGAGTCATAGTTTGAAAGGTAATAAAGGAAGAGCCATCCAGTGAAGTGAGATTTAGGTCCCTCTGCTGGAGGCTAAGTTTCAAGGACACATTGTGCAGGAAAATAAAAGATCTAGCAGCAACTTAAAATGTGTCTACCCTTCAGGGAAAAGAAAGGAGGGCTGGGACGGTGATCACGTGGCCATGCACTTGTACCTGAGTGTTCCCTAGACTCCAGGGATCCAGTTCTCCACATCCTTTCCCTAACTCTGGTGGCTGAAGTCCTCACGGGGAACTGACACACAGGTGAGCCCCCCTCAGGCACTCCCAGGTGGGAATGCACGGGACTCTCAGCTGCCATTCTGTCTGTACACAGGAAAGCCCTGCCTCTGGCCATTTTTCAGACTCCAGACTATCTTAGGAGGTCAAAGTTGGGTCAAAGGGACAGAGTCTGGGTAATGTGACCTCTGAGTGACACAGCCCCAGGGGCAGGCCCAGGGCAGAAAGGGGGCTGCGGCTTCTTGGGAGGGTGGTACCCCGCTGTGACGACAGCTGGCAAAGGGGCAGCTGTGGGGAAAACCAGCCCCTGCAGCAGCCAGCCTCACAAAGACACACAGCACTGAGGAGCTCTGAACTCCTGAAGACAGGGCCTGGGGGTGAGGTGGGAGCCCCTGGCCTGGTCCAAACCCCGCCCCTGCCTTGTACTATGGGAGTGACGTCACTGCAATGCCTGCCCACCAGTGCCCACAAGGGAGCAGCTGCTATGGTGGTTCCTTCCAGGCTCTGAGGGGCAGGCCCATGGGAGGGGCCGTTTTTGTACAAAGCTGTAACATTGTGGGGACAGGGGCCACGGTGATTCAACTCTATGGGAAACCTTTACAAAAACCTTGCTGCCCATCCCAGTGCCCAGGGTCCCTCTACTTCTCCTCGGGGTCACAAGCCCACAGGCGGTTGGGCCAGAATGCCTCCGCCTCACCCCAGCCCACCTGTCAAGCAAAGGCCATGGATAAGGACAGGTGGGCCAGAACCGAAGCCTCCAGGCAGGGAGGCCAGTTGTGGAAGAATGCCTCAGTGGCCTTCCAGGTAAAGGATGCAGGGAGACCCCTCATCCCAGTCCCCACAGAACTGGCACAAGGCCGGTGGGAAGGAGCCTGGGGGCAACCTGCTCTATAAAGGGAGATGCCAGAGGTGCCCCCATTCTCTGGGGATGCAGTCATGGGTTCTGGGAGCCTGCTCACTTGTCCAAGCCTATATCCTTTAGGTGGACCCTCAGAAAGATTGGAGAAAGGGGCACAGGGCCCTCTAGATGGACTCCAGCCATGCTCTGTGGGCCCAAGAGTCAGAAGTCAAAAATACTGCTCTGTGCAATATGTCTGACGCACAGGAGAGGGTTCTTTACCCTGAGGCCTCCAGACGCCACCAGGGCCCTCTCCCCTCTCCACGCCTCACCTTTGTTTTCCTCCTTCCCCACATCACTGTGTGAACACTGAAGTCTTCTTTGGAGAAGGCACCAGGCTCACGGTTGTAGGTAAGACAAGCTGCAGGTCCTCCCAGGCTTCTCACAGAGGAAACCGGGTCTGAAGTGCCCGTTTTAGAGTGGCTATATTCTGATGTGTTATGACTATAACTTCGGCCCAGGGACCAAGCTGACTGTTGTAGGTGAGGCCGGGGTCTCCAGGGTGGGTACGAAGAGGGGTTCTCTATCTGGGAAACATGGGAAGGAAGAGAGGACCCAGGCCCCGGGGTCCTGGCTGAAGAGACTTCAGCTCCATGTCTGAGAAGGAGTTTGTAGGGGGGGGTCCCTGTAAGGGCAAAGCTACCCAACCACCTGGAGGGCCTCTGGCAGCTCAGAGCCAAGCTCAGATGTTACAGCAGAGAAGGGGCAGACGAGGCTGCTGCCCTCTGGGATGGGACCTGGGAAAGGTGTGCCGGGAGAAAGCCAGAAGGTGGTTCATGAGCCAGAACATCGGCCTGGCTTCCCTCACTGACAGAGACTCTCGGTAGGAGCTTTGTATCTCTCCTTGCTCTGGGTTTCGTAGGAGGCCACCCTGTGTCTCCCTTCTTCCAGCTGTCCAGGGCCCTGGGAAAGCTCTGGGGGGCATGGAGAGTGTGTGCAGTGGGGCTGGTGGCTCTGGGAGGAAAGGGTAGAAGCCCCCAACCTCTGCCTGGATCCCAGCTGCGCTCAGCGCACAGGGGAGGTTCTGAAGTAGATTCCAGGAGGCTGTGCTTTGAAGACATCCTCTGTTTTGGGGAGGGAAGCCGGCTCACTGTTATAGGTAAGCGGCTCCAGGCTGGAGGGCTGGGACCAACAAGGAAGGGCAGGGGTCCAGATGCAGCCCCACTTTGGATGCTTGGCTTAAAGTGTGTGTTTACTGGAGAGATTTGAATTCTTGGTGCAGACAGGAGGGCACAGCCTCCATCTCTGATAATTTCACACATCTCATGATAATTTCATGATAATTGTCTGTGCTAATGCTTACCTAAGAGGGGGTCACCTTATCCACCTCCTGACTCCTTGAAGGGTACCCCAGCATGGCCATGGTAGATGGGAGAATGCCTGGCCTTACAGCTGTCATGATCCTGCCATTTTCTTCCATTGCACAGAAGGAGATGGGCACAAAGGGGACATCACACAGGGCCAAATGGCCCTCTGGTCACAGCATTTCCAGTTGCGCAGTTGTCCCCAGTGCCATATTCTGAAGCTAAATTTCTGCAGAGGAAAGGGGGAGGAAAGCTGGCAGGCAGGCTTGGGGAGGAAGGAATGGTTGGCGGCAGGCCAGTTTTCCTACCAGCCTCTAGTGCTGTGTAACTAATGAAAAACTCTTCTTTGGCAGTGGAACCAAGCTCTCTGTCTTGGGTAAGTGAGAGGCTTCCCTGGGGATGGTGTATTGTAAGGCTGTGGCTCTGGAGGGCAGGGGCCTAGGATGCAGCAGGCAGAAGGCCCAGAGAGTGTGGTGAGTGGGGTAGGTGCCAGAGCACCTAGAAGCTCTGGGTGGAAACCAGCTTCTGGAAGGAAAGCACCCCGCCCCCCACAGTGGTTCTGGGGTTTGCCACACTCATGCTGTGCTGTGGAACAACCAGGTTCAGCATTTTGGACACAGGACCCGACTCTCTGTCTTAGGTAAGGCACAGGGCTGGGGTGGAAGGGCCTGTGTCCCTTGGACTGGAGTCTGTCTCTTTCCAGCCCTGGTCCCAGGAGGCTTCTCTGGAGCCTTGACCGTCCCTTCCCAGTGGGGCTTGGATGAGTCTAGTCTTCAGTCAATGATCTGCCCCCTCATTCTTTTCCAGATCATCCTTCCTTCTTATGAGCATGGATCTGCCCCTCTTAAGCCTCACCCACTTTCCTCCCTTTCCCCATAGTCCGTGTAGGCCTTTCTCCTATTGGAATCCCTTTGGCCTAGAGCCACGCATGCAGGCA